ATATTATATAATATATATCTGTATATTGCTATACAGACCTACTGTATAGCAAGTTTAGTAAAGGAACATTCGTACAAATAAAAAATGGTATACCAGTTTCAGATGAATATTTGTGAGACCTTGAAATTCAGAGATACAGAGATACTCAAAACCCAACTGCACACAGCCCTGGACAACCCACTCTACCTGAGCCTGCTTGAGTCAGAAAGTTAGACTTGATGATCTCAAGGGGTCGCTACCAACCTCAGTGCTTCTATGCAGCTGGCAGCACAAGTCCAGGAAGAAATTAAATATGAGATGAAATGACACTTGGAGTGATCCCTTTGCTGATGCTCGTGGTAGTGATGAATGCTTCAAACTGCCCACCCGAGTATCCCAAAAGGATTTAAGTTTCTCATAAATCACAACTCACTATTATCCCCATAGAGGAAGAAGGCCTTACTGTTAAGTAATAAAGGCACTTCCCAGTCAAACAGAAATAGAGAAATCAATTCTGCAAGGGCCTGCAAGGAAGTTGGGGGGGACTTTTTACAAGGGCCTGTAGTGACAGGACAAGGGGTAATGGGTTTAAATTGAAAGTGGGGAGGTTTAGATTGGATATCAGGAAGAAATTCTTCCCAGAGAGGGTGGTGAGGCACTGGGACAGGTTGCCCAGAGAAGCTGTGGATGCCCCATCCGTGGAAGTGTCCAAGGCCAGGCTGGATGAGGCTTGGAGCAACCTGGTCTAGTGGAAGGTGCCCCTGCCCATGGCAGGGGGGTTGGAACTAGATGATCTTTAAGGTCCCTTCCAACCCAAATCAGTCTGTGATTCTGTGAATTAGGCTTTATTTTGGTGGGACCAACTCATGCTACATAAACACAACTGAGCAGCTCCTGGAACAGCAGTGGTCTGGTGTGTTAAAACAGGTTTTGCAGAGAGTTACTTCTTTTACTAAACTCCAATTAATGAAGCTGAAAAATGCGCACATCAGGTGCGTGAAGCAATTTTGCAAGTTTTAGAACAGCCACTGCTTAAACTTCAGGAACTAACTGACCACTTTCTTCTGTGCATGCAGGTTATGACTTTAATCCAGAAACTTCCAGTGCCAGTGATTGCCAAAGTAAATGGCTTGGCTACAGCAGCAGGCTGTCAGCTTGTGGCAAGCTGCGACATTGCAGTGGCAAGTGAGAAATCTCAATTTGCTACTCCTGGAGTAAACATTGGACTGTTTTGCTCCACACCAGCTGTGGCCTTGGGCAGATCTCTTCCAAGAAAGGTAGGCTTCCTTCCCAGATATTCTTTGTAATTTTGCAAGAAGTAGGTTCCCATGTTAGGAGTTTTAGTTCCATCACCTAAACTTTATTTTCCTGCAGTATGTCATGCAAAATAATTCTTTGCAAAAGACATCTTCATAACTCTCTGGAATGGGAAAAATAATAGAGATGAACTGTTTTTTGCTGATGCGATTCCAACCAGCATGAACTCATACCAGCAGCACACCAGCTCAGCGATCCCTCTCCTTTCCAGCAGGCAGCTCTGTGCTTCAGACAATGCTGTTCTCCCCTGAGGAGGAAACCCCTGCAAGTTCAGGGTATCAGTCCCGCTGAGGTATCAATTCTTGCCAGACAGTGACATTTCACTGCCAGCATGATCTGCCTGGGTGTAGATCAAGAGGCTTTAAATAGCATCTGAGACCCTCCTGTACTTTCTTCCTGCTTTATTTCCTACTGATTGTGACTACACATCTCTCACTCCATAAACAATAGCACGACCTGTAAAGCTTCCATAACTGAGAAAAGAGATTTGAAGTTCTGATCCAGCTGGATGCGTGCGGACAGACTCTCCCAGCCCAGCAGGGCTCTGCTGAGATGCACGGACTTAACTGCACAAGTGCAATTGCTGGATAAGAGGTTCAGCTTTAAATTTCCTATCTGTAAGGCCATCCTGTTCAAATATCTTCTGACTGTGGGTTGGTTTTTCCCAAGTGTGCTGTAATGTACAGTTCTAACTGTTTCTGAATTAATATTTCTGGGGTTTGTGATTAACTTTTTAAAATATGTGGAATATACTTTTCTCTGTGCTACTTTTCAAAGTAGCAAAAACATTCCCTACAGTTTTCAGGATTGCTGATTTTACCTTTTATCAAATGAAATGTTGCCATTGTTTGTAGCTACCAGAGCAAAGATACTGATGAGAATAATCAGCTCTTATGATTCAGGGCATTGATCAATTGCATCAGGAGTCATGGAAAAAAAGTCTTACTGATACATAACGTTGAATAGTCACTGAATATTTGTGGTGTTTTTTAATTTGAAACCTCAAATGTAAGATGCTGGAAGCAGCAGGAGACTGAAATAGATGCAGCTGTAAGAAGGACATATTTAAAACACCCTGACCAAAGTTAAGCTAAGGCAGGTATTTTCAAAAACTACATGTTGACGTAGTAAGTCTTTATTTATCATTACATGCCCAGCTTAAAATACTGAGTTCAGTCATCTGACATTGTGGACCATCCACATCTCTCTTAATTCCCACTCCAGTCACTAGAGGTTCTGGGCTTTTGAAAAGAAACCCAGAGGTGTCAGCCTAGGACAGCTGCAGTCAGTGGGCAGGCTTGAAAGAAGGCCAGCTTTAGACCCCGTCCTTCTCTTTGCTGAAACTTCTAACACTTCCTTGGCAGTTTAAGAGGCCAAAAGATTTAAATCTCATATTTGTCAAAAGAGTAACTTATACATGAAGGAGGAAGTGGAAATTCCCACAACAAACTAAAGCAAGAAGGCAGTGTCATTGACTTCATACAATATGTTTTCTTGTTCAGGTGGCATTAGAGATGCTTACCGCTCTCTGCCCAAGAAGCATTAATGCACGGCCTTGTCAGCAAGGTGGTCCCAGAGGACAAGCTGGAAGAAGAGACCATGAAAATCTCTCACAAGATATGTGAAAGCAGCAAATCCGTCCTGGCACTGGGGAAAGCCACCTTTTACAGACAGATGACACAGGACCTTGATACTGCTTACAAACTGACTGCTCAGGTCATGGTAGACAACTTGACTTTGAGAGATGGGCAGGAAGGTATTGAAGCCTTTATTCAGAAACGTAAGCCTGTCTGGTCACACTCTCAGGATGAGAAGAAATGAATCCTGTTTCTGAGCTGACCTTAGCTGTGCTTCGTGACTCTTCACACATTTGCCTTCAGGAGTTATATTTTTGTTCCGACTGAAAATTAAATTTCTCTTCTTACACGTGCCAAAGACACAATAAATTTATTCTAAGTATATAATAAATGTTAAGAAAAATCAAACCAATTTTTTTTTTCAGCAATTAATTTCTCATTTTAGAAGGAACTCTGTGTTGCAAAAATTAGTTTAATGTGCCCCAGGTTACTTAGGGAATCACAGGATCTGGGAGACAGCTCAAATCACCTTGTTCAGTACCTGTCCCCATAGTCCTGGATAAGAATTTGTATTTATCGTTATTAATAGAGAATTAAAGGGCACATTCCACACATTCCAGAGGTGATGGTAGTACATATCATAATGGATTCCAACACTGTTCATATATTACAAACAAAGTCTATAAAATAGCTCATTGCTCCTTAGGAATGAACTGTATGTATTGCTAGTTTGTCTCCCTCAGCAAATCCAGGTTTTTCACCATCGGTCCAAGCACTTGTCTCTTCCCGCTCTAGAGTATTTTGCTGTTGACTCTAGCGAGGCTGAGCATGGCTTGGGGGTGTTTCGTTTCAAAACAGCACCCTGCAAAAGCCACTGCCTGTGGGCTTCAGCAGAGATTCACACCTGGCACTGTTTGGACCCAGCTGTAATTTTCAAGGCTTTATTTCTTCAGTTTGTCACAGAATCTCAGATGTGTGAGCTGGAAAGTCCAGCCTTGTGCTCACAGCTGGGCTTTTACCGACACCGGACCAGGTTAGTCATGGGTGTAAGGTCTTGACAACCTCCAGCAGCAGGGATTCAGCTGCTCCTCTGGGTAATCTGTTACAGCGCTGTGAAATACTTTTCCTTATTGCCCAGTCTGAGCCTCAAAACAGCTTGTGGGGTAAGGGTTTTTTTTTCTTGGCCACTGTCCCTTGTAATATTATCTGACATTATTGCGAAAACTTCAGCTCCATTATCTTTGTAACCCTTCAAGCAGTCACAGGCTGCAGTTAGACTGCACTTAGACTCTGCGCCAGACTTCCAACAAGTCCAGCTTCCTCCAGTCTCCTCGTAGGTCGTGTTCTCCAGGTAACCAGCTTGGTAGCCCTGCAGTGGACCAATACCAGTTTCTCCACATCCCTTTTGTACTGGCCAAAACTAGACTGTATTCCAAATATGGCCTGGCCAGTGCTGAGCAGAGGAGAGCAAAATGTTCCTTCCATCTGCTGGCCCCTTCCAGCCAGTCAGTATTGCTCAGAATGCGCTTTGTCCTGTTTGCGATGAGAGTGGACTGTTGGCTCGTATTCAGCTGGGCATCCCCTGCAGGACTGCTGCTCTGCCAGACAGCCCCTAGCCTGTACTGGTGCAGGGGGTCATTCTTCCCCTGGCAGAAACTTGCAGTTCTCCATAGATGATGGTTCTTCTGGATCGAAGCCAGGCTATCCAGCGTGTCAGCCGTTCCTCCAGTTTCACATCATCTGCACATTTGCTGAGGATGTATTACTGATGCTGATACTGAATGATGTGAGCCTCAGTACCAATCCGTGGTGATCTACATGGGATGGCCTCTCAGCAGACGTTTTGTCTTAAGTTCCACAAGCCAAATCATGAAGGCTTATCCATTTCACCCTTAAATAGGCATCTGAGAAAGTCCAGGTGAATCACTATATGGATCAGCCTTTTTCCCTTTGTTTACAGTAGAAGTAGCCTCAAGTGCTTAGCTTAGACTTAGATGTCTTAAATCAGATAAATCCTACCTACAGCTACTAAAACCCTAAATGTGCAACTATCATGAATCAAGTTTTTTCACAGAATCATGGAATGGTTTA